ATTGTTCTATTGGAACAATGCAGGAAACTACATAGGTGAGTATCACAACTTGAAATTGAGAGTTTTGATCTAAGAGATCTTGGGTTCAGATGGTGCTATGTTTTGTTTGGGATTTTATATCACAGTTAATTATTCATGCAGTAAGGTCAGTTACACTGCTTTAATGATACTAATAAGCTTAGTACACTACAATTCCCTCAGACTGTGGATGCATGCATGCATCAGCGCAGACATTCCATTAGAAGTCATCATTCCTAATTACTGATTGCTGCTCCTGAACTCGGGAGTCACTGTTTCTCCTGAAACTCCCAGTGGAGCTTCTCATGAGAACCCTCCCAGCCCCATTTAGTTAGGGTGATCTAAATGAATTTAAGCAGTAGGTATTTGCTGATCCAGCTCATTTTCACAAAAGCTTTTTAGACTATGTTTATGTACACGGGCAGATTTAGGAAATTAAATATGGCAAAGGAGCACTGATCAACAGTAAAGGGTTGAGCTGATCCATGTGTCTTTTTTCCCTAATACACTATTTAAATACTTCATATGTCTGCACGTGGCTATTGTGATACTGCTGTTTTTGACTTTGTACTGATGTAAATTAGTCCTGTAAAGTCAGATGAAATAACTTTATTAAAAGTTACTGCTTCCTAGCAATGTGTGTAATATTGTAGCTATCAATTAAAAATAGTGCAGAGCCCCACAATTTAAAATTATGCAGTGACTTAAAGCAGTAAATCCACAAATATTTTGAAGATCTTAAAAAAAAAAAAAAAAAATAGTTTAGCATTTGACATACAAAACTGAGTTGATAATACCCAGTTTGTGAACATTGATTACATTTTCAAAACAGGATTTCAGTGTATCTGAGAGTGTAGATAATATCTATGTCAGATTTGAAGGATTGATTGGTGGGGAGCTGTGGTAGTGTTTTATTTTACACAATTCAAAAATAAATTGATTGATTTACTGTAGGAGAAGGAATTTATAGCAGTACTTTTAAAATGTCTGAACTAAATTACTGAAATTTTGGGAGCAAAGTGATGCAACAGAAAATCATTCTATGGTATTTTAGTTTTGAAGCTCAATGCTTTAAAATCAACGCTTTAAAAAATGCTAGTGAATAATGATATATGAAACACGAAATTCTACATGTATGCTCCTGTTCACAAATTTCTTACACTTTGCTTGCATTTCTGTGCAACTAATTAAATGTTAAGCATTGAATAAGGACTAATGAGCTTTCAGCTGTCAGCAGTACTTTGGAAAAGTATTTTCAGTGTTCATAGTTCATATATATTAGGGTAAGCTTTGATCATTTGCAAAAGTAGAAAATTGAAAATGCAAACGTTGTGTCTGCATATCATCATTTTTAAAGCGTACTGATAAAAGGTTATGTTCAGAGGGATTTGGACACTGAAGAGAAGCTGCTATCGTTTAGGAGTATTGTGACAGCAATGTTTTTATGCATGCATTGAGTCTTATTTCAGCATTTGAACTGATTTTGCAGTAAGTGAAAGAAAATGCTTTCTAGTTTAATGAAATAAAATTTTAAAGTCTCTAGATTAAGCCTTTTTAATTTGCTACTGTGCATTAGCTCTATGTTTGCATTTTTGTCACAACTGTAGTATATATATACTGACTCACTGAGAATTTATGCCACTAATTACTTTGAAATCTCATTAGAAGTTATCATGGAATTGTTTTGCAGTTCCTGAGGTTTGAAAAGCATTATTTCCAGGGAAAGACAGTTTGAAAGATCTAAGTTGCGGAAGCAGAAAAGCTATGAAGAATAAAATAATGCATCTTGGGGGAGGGGAATATGCTTATTAATGTTTCTATTAGGATGAAGATTAGTCTTCTGATACAGAGTTAAAAACAATATTGAATGATGTTCAATATGTTCAAATGTTACTTGGAATCACAGAATCGTAGGGATTGGAAGGAACCTCCAGAGATCATCGAGTCCAACCCCCCTGCCAAAGCAGGTTCTCTACACCAGGTAGCAGTAGTAGGTGTCCAGGCGGGTCTTGAATATCTCCAGAGAAGGAGACTCCACAACCCCCCTGGGCAGCCTGTTCCAGTGCTCCGTCACCCTCACCATAAAGAAGTTCTACACAAATGTGTGCAAGAACTTCCTATGCTTCAGTTTCTGGCTATTTCCCCTTGTCCTGTCTCCGCACACTGCTGAAAGCAGTCTGGCCTCGCCATTCTGCCCCCCACACCTTACATATTTATAGACCTGGATCAGATCCCCTCTCAGTCTTCTTTTCTCAAGGCTAAACAGACCCAGCTCACTCAGCCTTTCCTCATAGGGGAGATGCTCCAGGCCCTTCACCATCTTTGTGGCCCTCCACTGGACTCTTTCCAAGAGATCCCTGTCTTTTTTGTACTGGGGAGCCCAGAACTGGGCACAATACTCCAGATGAGGCCTTACCAGGGCAGAGGGGAGGAACTAGACTTGCTTTTTGGTTTTGCTTTTAGAAAGCCAATAAGGAACTATTTTACTATTTTGAATCATGAAAAAAACGAAGCTTATTTATTAAATGTTTGAACCGTGACTTCTAGATGTTGGTCTTCAGTATCACTTATTTTTTGGTTTTGTGTATATTGAAAATAGGTAATGTCAAGTCACTGCCTTTAAGATAATTGGAAAATGTAGTTTAACCCTGAAAATTGATGTAAATTTTGCATCTGGGTTCTTGCTTAGTACTTTTAAAATCTGGATTCACTTTCTGTATGAGGATTGTAGGAAAGGATAAGAAAATGAAAAGCTGGAAAATGTAGAAGTTCAGGAAAAATATATTAGAAATCTCCACAGCTATGATGTGATATAGTTCTTTAAGAAGGAACTGAAACCAAAGACTGGGCACATGACCTAAAGCTATTCAATGCAAATAAGAGTGCTTAGCCTCAGTTTTTGGCAAAGGGAACAGCTTTCTTGCTGTTCGAAGCATGCTATCAGCTAAACCAGTCTCCGGATGCAGAGTTAACTTTGACAGTAGAAGAAATGATTGGATTCTCTGTGAAGACTGAAGGCAATGAGGTAAGATACAGCTTAAAATGAGTTGGAAGTGAAGAATCCAAACCGAGTCAGTAGTTTAGATTGTGGTAGTATTTCTTGGTAACATAATGTTGTTTATGTCAGGGTTAAGTAAAGGAAACTAGGTTTATGCATATTATTTTCCCTGATCTAAATGACGTTATAAAATGCAATATAGAACAGTGATGAGATGTTAAATCGCTGAGTATACAAGGGTTGGTGCTGTATAAAATTGCTTCCTCTGTTCTCACGCTTTTCCCCTTTGTAAGCTAATCATAAAGGTAGGCTCAGTTCATAAAATGTACATCCTGTGAAAGTGAAACTGCATTTCATTTTTGTGCTTATAAACAGATGTCACTTTATGAGTAATAGAGAATCTTTCTTCATGTTTCAATGTTGTTTGTGTAAGATGGTGCTAACTGTATTGGACTTGACAGTCTGCTCACTGGATCTGTACTGGAGAGAAAAGTTTGAAAAAGTATTTCATGCAAAGCAAAGCGATTTCTATAGCAGAAACCTGGTTTACATGAAGCTGTGTACCCTGAATGTACTCTGTATGTTATGTGACTGTGACTGCTTTTAAATCTCCAAATCTTACATTACCTTCCTAGGAGATGTATCCTTTATATACATATAAAAATGAGAGCTTATGATACTTTTTCTTCTGTAGTGCTTGAGGGAGAATTTGGAAAATATCTTTGTCTCTTCAAATGGAGTTTTGACCATATACAAGCTTAGAATAACTTTGTGTGTATGTTCTGATCTCTCAAACTGAAAAATAGATGAGCATGAGATGTGATCCCTGAGAGAGTTCAGAGTACTGAGAACGATTTTTCATATAATTTTTAAATTTAAAATCACATTTTTCTACATCCTTTCGGGGAGATTGTTTATACTAATATGTGATTTTCATGGTTTAATTTCTCACTTCTGCAAAAAAGATTGTTTACTTCCCCAGTCTGTACTTTCACATAGTTTTAGAATAATGCATCATTTTAAGAGCTGGTGTAAAAGAAACAAAAATAAAAACCAACCAAATAACACCAACTTTTTCTTCAGTTCTCCTTCTGCTTTTTTTTTTTTTTTTTTTTTTTCCCCACAGAGACTTTGTTTTTGAGAATTGGTCACTTTTCTTTTTGGCAGTTTTTCTTATTAACTGCAGATGCAAATATTTTCACTGTGATAAAAGATAGGAATGGCAGATAAAAGAGTGCAGAACTTTTTTTTAATTAAAAGTTTTTAAAAAAAGTAGGCATTTTAGCTTTCTAATACATTTCTCTTGTAATATTGTTTTAAACAATTTAGTAATTTTAATGAAATAATGCAAATTTATGCTGAGAGTCTAACTCAGCGTTTACAATATTTTTTGCTCTGTAATGGTATTTAGTAATCTGAGTCAAGCAATTTGGAGGATTTACAAATATAAATACAGTTTTCAGTTAGTTTCTTCTAAGTAAATAAATTCATAAATATCTGTACTTAATAATGTACTGATGTTCCAATTCCAAGTTGATGGATAGAATTTCTGTCTCTCTACAAGGTTTTACACTCCACAGAACTGACAATGAGAATATTTCTTGTAGTCCAGAACTTGTCATAATGTTTAATGAATGATGCAGACTGTTTCAAACCTTAGTGGTAGTTTTCTAATTTTATGTATATAACTGTTTATGATTTTGTTGCATTTGCTAGGTTTGCTGGGATGGGTAATCTTCTTAAGGTCCTTACCAGGGAAATTGAAAACTATCCACATTTTTTCCTGGATTTTGAAAGTAAGTTCAAACAATTACAAGGTTGTGAGAGAATCTTTTTCCTGACTTAATAGTGAACTAAGGAAAAAAATCTTAAGATGGATTGTTTGCAGTGTTTATTTTCCAGCGCAACCAGTCTATCCAAGTCCTTGTCTCTAAAACCATTTGTTCACTCAGAACTCCTTTTCTCTTCCTTTTCTATTTTTCAGGAACCAAATGGGAAATCTTTTAAAAGTTCTCACTTGCACAGAGCTTGATCAGGGGCCAAATTTTTTCCTTGACTTTGAAAGTGAGCAAAGCTTCTTGCCTGGCTTGCCTTCTTTGCTTATTACTTCCTAATGAACTGCATGTGCTTACGCGTCATGAAGCAATTCAAAAGGGATTTGCAAACAAATTAAATTACACTTTGGTTGTGTATTGAGTTTTTTTATATCTATAAGACTATGTAAAACTACTTCATGAAAAGATGGCAGGATGATAGATACGCAAATAAAATATAACTATGATTTAGTTTCAGAACATTTATAAGCCATTATTAAGTTTATATGTGAATGAACTTACTTCAGCTTACTCTAACAAATCAGGGTTAATAATACCTGTTCTTCGTGTTTCTTCATTGAATGGAAATGTATTTACAGTGGAAATAATTATGAAAAGCTTAAAAAATACCAACAGTGTAGGTGGCTGGTTCAGTGGTGATTTAACTGGATTATTATAGTTTTTAAAGAGTAATGAAGTGGTATAAGTGTAAGTACTTGATTGCATCTCTCTTAATTGCATGTTTATCGGTTTGCAAACAGTGTTTCACATACTAATTTCCTTGTCACATTTGTTTCTGAATCAAAGCTATTTCCCTTCTGCTGGTTATGCTTTTCCTGCATGTACTTCTGAACACTTTCTTGAAAACTGGTCATCAAATCCTTAAATATGGGTTAATCTTAACTTCACTAATTGTGTGAAATGCTTTTTATCAGAGTGCTAACAGCATATGATGTTTTGTCTCTTAAAACCTTTAATCTGAACCAAAAAAAGTTTTGAAAGAAGCTACTTTTTTTGATTTTTGAGGCATGGTTGAAGAGAGAATTTGGGATAAGTAGGCACATATTATCACCTTGAGTACTTCTTTGAAATAATTTATTCCTAAGTTATTCTTAAAAAAAAAAAAAAAAAAACAATTACTGACATGAAATGAGAAAGTATGTATATACGTGCTTAGAAGCACTGGTTCTAAGTCGTTTAAGCAAATTTAAATCTTAAGAAATTGTTCAGACATGCTTTCTTGGATTAGAACTGGAGTGTACGAATGTAACATTGTACATACTTGAATCTTCTCATCTAGATCTCATTTACCACAGTATAAAGAATCGGTTTTAAATTATGAAAAAAGTTAATTGGTTATTTTGGGTTTGGAATAAGGTACTACAGGCCCTCAATCGATTTTCTACCTCTGTATGATTTGAGAATCTTATTCTAAAATTTGGCTGTTAAACCTTTGTACAAATCATCATGTAATTTTTTCTGTCAAACTTCAGGACACTTTAGTAGAATGCTGTGCCTGGCTCTTGCAAAGCTTTTCAGCTGCTTTGAACTTCCATACTTTATCAGTCCCATCATGTCTTATACTATAAGAAGGTCATACTAGCTGTGACTCCTGACTTAGCAGGAAACAGGTGGCCTGGCAGAGGGAGGCCTCATAGAAGTGAGAGGGGAAAATGCCTATTTTCTTGCCTTGGCAGAGAAGGTTGTTGTTTTTTTTATTGTTCTTTCCTTTCCAAAACCTGCTCTGCCAACAGGAACAGAAGTGATCTTAAGTGCCTTCTCCCAAGGAAATGCAAGCAATTGCTGTAAGCACTTGTGCACTTGTCAGGCACAACTACCTAGAGATTGAAATAGTCTTGGAGATTCTTATGGAATAATAAAAAATGTGTTCTGTGGAAGGAATGTAACTTCAGGGGCATATGTTGGCTTGGTGCATTTTCTGTAGTTCATTTTTTTGCATCAAAATTTGAATTGTGTAAAAAAACACACTCCAGTGTATTGGCCATGGGTGCCAGTCTGCATGTATGCTTGCTGGCCATGTGACCTTTTTGCGTTTTCAGCTCAAGTTCAGTGGATTAAAAAAAAAAGGTCATTTTAGAAACTAGTGCAGTTACAAAGGTTTCCTTCATGGTCTGATAGTGATAGGACAAGAGGAAGTGGTTTTAAACTAAAAAAGGGGAAACTTAAATTAGGTGTTCGGAGGAAATTCTTTACTCAGAGGGTGGTGAGGCACTGGTGCAAGATGCCTGGAGATGTGGATGCTCCATCCCTGGCAGCATTCAAGACCAGGCTGAAGATGGGATCTTGAGCAGCCTAGTTTTGTGGGTGGTAACCCTGCCCACAGCGGTCAGTGTTAGAAGTAGATGGGCTTTAAGATCCCTTCTAACCAAAGCCATTTTATGAGTCTATTTTTAAATTTATAATCATAATAAAAAGCCTTTCTAAAGCTTTGAGAAGACGTCGTCTTTAGTGAAAAATTGGATTTTGATGGATTCATGATAGAGAATCGTATAATAAAATCACAGAATGAAGAGGGAAGGCAGAAGTTTTGGAGCAAAAAATTTTCTCTGCTGCTGAAAACATTCAGCTGATGCAATTTCAAATGTATTTGTATTATGTTCACAGTTAGTATAAGATTATCACAGATTTCCTACATTCAATTTCAAATATATTGCATGAAGAAGGTTAGCTTCCAGTCTCTTTAAATATTTACTGATCATTCAGCTGTCTTCCAACTTGATTCACGTGATAGATCTTAGAGTCTTAAATGAAGAATTAGGTTGATAGTAGAAATCCTAGTAATGTTCCTCTGTGTCCACAAGGATTTATTCAACTGTGCAATACCTGTTTGTATACTTTCTGAGGAAAAAACCATGTTGTGTTCATCTCTGCTTTAGACTGTGCAAATTACTGAAAGTAAGTTAAGCAATTTCAAAAAATGCCTACCAACTTAATTCTTTCCTCAACTTACTAAATACTCTCTCAGATAAATCTGGATGACTGCATGGTTGGAAGAGCCTTAGCTCTTAGTACACAAAAATGAGAACAGAAATGCAGGGCAGAATAACAGCAGCAGAATCTAGATATCTTAGTCAGTTATGAAACTGCATTGTAAGTTCAGCATAGTAGACTTCAGTGTTACTTTTTTCCCTTACAACCCTTAGTTAACACAGATCTCTCAGATAATCATAGAATGACCTGGGTTGAAAAGGACCATAAAGATCATCTAGTTTCAACCCCCTTGTCATGGGTAGGGTTGCCAGCCACTAGACCAGGCTGCTCAGAGTCACATCAAGCCTGGCCTTGAATACCCCCTCAGTAATGACTTGTAAGAATAACCTAGTATGAATTCTTCTATGCCACACACAGATATTTATTTTTTAAAAGTTACTATTCTCCAGGACAGAATCCTGCTTTGAAAAATTTGAGGAGGTCATATGACATGGCATCTTTTAAATTTCTTTTTCTTTGCTTATTTTAAAGTATAAACTCACTTTTCTCTTTAATATTTTTACCAACCAATTTTTTTTCATATTTAGCTTTAGATCTACCAAAATATCTCTATGCAATTCTTGAAAAGTGAGCAAGTAGAAAGAGGACATCTAGAAAAATCAAGTTTTCTCACCTACATTTTTTTTTCTTTTTCTTTTCAAATTCTGCCTTGTGCTGTGTTTGAAATAAGAAAGAATCAGGAAACAAAAATGAGTGTGTTTTAAAATTTCTCCTTCCAAAAATTTTTAATGGCTATTTTAATTTTCTCCTTGAAAATTCAGTGCTACCACAAATTATTTAGAATATCAAGGTACTCCTCTTTTCTGCAGTTATCTATATGTATGATCAGTTGTATTCCTTACAACATGTTCTACTGATGTCACTGAATCCAATTCTTGAGTCCAATCAAGAATCAAGGAACCAAGTTTTGTAACTCTGATTATATTTTTTAAAAGATTGAATCTCTTACTAATTTCAATTAATGTTATATGGCAGAAGCAGTTCTGTATACTCTCTCATTCTTGAGCCATGGAATAGCTGTTAATCTGTAGAAGTAGAAACAATTTGAAGATTTTTCCAATCCTACCTTGAAGATAAGTAACGCCCAACTTCAGAGGTTAATGTAGAGAAGAGTGTTCTCCTATGCAGCTGTAAAAAAAAAAAAAAAAAAAAAAAAAAGCCTTTTGAAGTGATATTCAAACTGTATGCATTCCACTAAATTAATGTTGGAAGATCTGCTGAAGTACTTAAATAAAGAAAAAGTCTCTTATTTCCAGATAGCAAACTGTTGTGTTCTACATTTGATGTTTTTGTATTCAAAGTGACATTTATTTGAATTTATCATATACCTGTTTGCCCATCTTTGCTCATAACTTGAATAAAACCTTGTTAGGAAGAGTGAGTGCATGTTAAGTCCTGTGAGTTTGTGGTCTTCACAGCTAATTAAGGTTTCATTGTTACCCCATAGGGTGATTCCCTTGAAATTGGTTATTCTCCATTCAGCTGTTTTGTTCATTAGATCTTGACATTGATTAAATCTGTAAAAGGTAAATGAATTCTGGGCATTCAAAGCTCTTTCTGTAGCATGTTACGAGTTCTCATTTTTGCAGAACTCTGTTGTCAAACTACTGCTGCCTAGTTTTCAGGTGAATAAGTATTTGAATATGAATTCTTGGGAGTAATTTGAAGGTTGGTAATAACAATTTGTTTTTGAACCTAAAAGGTTAAAGTTTCAAAACACGCTTCAAAAAGCTTGTAAGCTTTTGTCAGTCTTGAAGTGGCATCTTCATTCCATCCTCTCACCAGATACATATGTCTTTTATAAGACCAAACTCTCTGAATGCAGAACCTGAACAGGTTTCCCTTTTTTCTAAATGTTAGCTAGGTGGGCTTGTTATCTGATCCTTCTCCAAAGAATCGAGGATAATTACTTTCCAGTATTCCTCCTGCACTATCACAGAAAGATTTATGAAATTGAGTTATAGTTGCTCATATATGATTAAAAGTGTCTATTAATGGAACATGTCTAACAGCAGAGCAACTGCCCATTTTTTGCGGGATGTTAATAAGTGCCCTTGCTCCGCAGGCAGAGAGGCTGGAAGTGTAATCTCTCTCCAGCCAGAGCGAGATTAAACTCATCTCTTGCACTTCAGAAAGTGCCCTAAGCAAGAAGCCATGGTTTAGTCCTAGGGCATCCTCTTGAGGATGTCCACTCCTCATGTGTTACAGGGCTGAGAGCAACAAACCAATGACCTCATGCTTGTTTCTGTGGCATAGCCTCATACTCATTTAAGAGAGCTTCATTTTGTTCTGGCTAATTATGGAATTCTGGCATATGTCAAGCAGGTTATTTTTTCCATCATTGCCATTCTTTTTAATGTATGGGATATAGCAACTTCTCATACTCTCTGAAATGCATTATTCACTGGAGTTGAAGGTAATACTTTCTGTCTTTGTCAAGAACATAAGCTTAGCCTTTTTTCTAATCATGTGCCAGATTGGAAGGGGAAAAATCATTGTCATGGTGTCAGACCTGAAATGTGTGTGTGTGTATGTATATATTTTTATACACATATGCTGTGCTCTAATTTGCTGAAATGCTGAAAGCAGAGCCTGTAAGACACCTTGTTGAACTCACTGCTCTTTTGCATGACTGTCATAATCAGGTGGCCATGATATTATCTGACAAATATGATTGCACATTTAATACACTTGAAATACAAGCATTATCCAGTCTCAGTGTGAATCCCTTTAACTTCCAATTACGTTGACTGAGGGTGGAATGAAGTTCTCTGCTTTTTGGTCTGCATTTCAGATGCAGAAAGAGTGCATGGATTGGAAATACTTTTTTTACAAATGACTTGTTATGCCTTAATTGTTGAGATAGTGTTACGCTTGACTTTGTAAAAGTAAGTACTTCATATCCATTCTTTTGTATATAATCTTGTCCTTTGAGTATTGATGTGTAATGTATGTTGCAGTTTCTATGTTTTTTTCAAAAGCATAACTGGTGAAGGATGAGATAGGATATATCTTTTTAAACAAATGATGTATTTTCAGAAAAAAAAGTTTGTTCCACCTTCCAACCTCATTAAGTACCTGACATATATAATGAATCTACAAATGGACTTGTTCCAGAGAATTTATTTAGTTATCAGAGGCAGGTGGATCGGTTTCCTGTTTTGTCTTGCTAAAGAAAGAGTATTCTGATAAATAATCATGAGTACTATAAAGACTGTCAGACTTGAGGGTACTCTGAAGTCTGTCAGACTTGAAATTTGGTACATTCAGAAGTAATGGGACCTTTCTATTGAGAGGGCTTGCACTCAGCGTGGATTAGCTAGTGACTATGGGTTTATTTATAAATGTGTTCAAATTGTTTAACCATGTGCTGATTGTCTGGAGTTAGGGTTACAAGAGGTGATTCAGGAATAGTATTTATTTATTTATTTATTTAGAACAGTGAAATGAGCTTTGGTATTGTTGGAATAGGAAAACAATTTTAAAAGCCAGAATGAAGAATTCTTTGTTTCTTTGAATTTTTGTTGTTATAGTTCAAAGCAAGATGAAGTCCTTTACAAAGTGATCAATCACAGATATGTTAGCTAACCATGTTTGTCAAAATCTTAATGTAAAATCCCTTTTGAAACATGACCATAATTTTATCAGAGCATGTATTTGCATAACATACAGTTCACACATAAGATGCATGTTAAAAAAAAAAAAAGCCTGAACCATCCTCCCTCCTTTCATTTTTAAGCTAAACAATTTCTGCATACATATAAACCGCTTCTGCAAGTGCAAGCTAAGCCTATTGCTCTCTAGCCTTTGCAGCCTTCTTCCTTTCCCTTCCCTTTTCCAGCCATCTACCCTTCTCCTATTCCTCCTTTCCCATATGCTGAGATACTGCAGAAAGCTCAATTGGTTTCAAGTACTCACCCTTTCACCAACTTTCAAAAAATGAATTGGGAAAATCTGGAAAATAATGACTACAATGGATGTTATTAAAGACCAATTCTAAATCCCACAGTGATGAGCAGTCCAGAGAGTTTAAATTTTTATTAGGGGGCAATACATTTTAAAGCAAATGAACTGTAAAAGTAGCATACAAGTTTTTTGTTAACCAAATCATGCTTCTGGTGATGTGATTGTGCAGATTTTACACTTGTGATTTGTACTAATCAATAGCTTACTCTCTTTTATGCCTTAATATTTGCTGGAAACATTATTTTAATTAACTTTTATTAAAACTATTAGTGTGTGGATACTGACTTACAGATGATTCCTTCCTTCCCCCTACTCAATTGTGGATAGTATAGAAGTTTTAAGCAAAAATATCAAGTTCCTTGTGAAACTTAGAAATATTTCTGTTTTGTTCCCTTCTTTTTCACAAGGTCGAAGAACCATTATGGTGTGTACACCTTGAATTTCTTGCAGCTTGGGGAAAGAAACAGTATCACTGCAAACCTAATATTAACTAATAGTTCAGTTCAGCAGCCATGTCTGAACTGGGATTTTCATATTTGAAGTAGTTTTCTTCTTGTTTCTGCTTTCCTTCTGAAGTATGAAGTAGTGTTGTTTCAAGTCTCCCTCCATCTTTATAATAAACCCCTTTTAAGCACTGAAAGTTCACTAAGGTCTCCTGGGAACGTTCTCTTCTCCAGGCTGAACAACCGCAACTCTCAGCTCATCTCCACAGCGGAGGTGCTTCAGCTCTCTGATGATCTTTGTGACCTCCCCTGGGTCTGCTCTAACAGGTGCATACCCTTCTTGTGCTGGAGCTGAACACTGCCACAGATGGGCATGATGAGAGTGGAGTAGAGGGCCTACTGGCCATGCTTCTTGTGATGCAGACTAGGTTAAAACTGGCTCTCTGGGACACACATATGCACTGGTTCCCTCACATCCAGTTTCTGTCCACCAACACCTCCATATTGTTCTTCTCAGAGCTGCTCTCAATCTGTCCTGCAGTCTGTATTGAGGTTTGAAATTGCCCCAAGCCAGGTACAGGACCTGATAGACATGTCGGCGTTTTGATTTCCTTCAGAATGTCATTACTCTGAATGTAGAAGGTCTACATAACACTCCACTCCCACAATGAAAACAAAGTGATGATTGATATAACTGGTTAAATAGAACTACTGTTCAGTAGTAGAAATGGTCTCTGCCATTCAAAAAGAAAATGTTTATATAGTACTATACCTATCTTGCATAGAAGGAGAAAATTAGTCAGTTAGGGAAGCCTGGAGGAAGGATGACATGGCATAATATTCTACTGCACCATCCACTGAAAGGCTTGATTTTATCCCCAAGCTGCAAGGAAAATAAGCAATCCTTTATAATTGATCTATGGAGCTCATGAGTGAGGTGCCTTTTTACTAAAAGACCAAGACAGTATCCTCTTTTCTAATTACACTGCCTTATGATGCTGAGAAGAGACTTCTGAGCCAGAGATCACCAGAACAATGGGAAAACTTTAATGTTAGCTGAATGGCAGTGCAGAATAACTGTACCTTAAAAAAAAAAAAAAAAAAGCAAAAGTCAAGTGATATAACGTTGTTAAGTCAAACTGAATAATCTTGCTGTCAGTGTTGCTGCTAAATTTTGTCTTACGCATTTTACTTTTATGTTTCTTAGATGCCCAGCCCACGGATGGAGAAAGAGAAGTATGGAATCAGATCAGTGCAGTTTTACAGGACTCAGAAAGTATGCTTGCAGATCTTCAGGCTTACAAAGGAGCTGGACAAGAAATTAGAGATGTATGTTTGTTCAGGCCAATGGGAATTCTCTGAAAGAAAAATTGAACAAAACAGCGTGTTCCTTTGTTCTGTTCTGTATCCAGGCACATTCTGTGGAACTGTATAAGAATCTTTATAATTCTGTTTTGAAAACTTATGGATTCAGTGCAACGTTATAAGCTGTAATGTTAAATTATTAAATGATGGCTTTTGGAATTTGTTTTGGGTCTACTACTATCAATTAATTAATACTTATTTTTTACTTTGAGACAGTTTCATATACCTTATGTGGTATATGGCTAAAGTTTCAGTTAAGAACTAATACTTAATGAGTTTCTGACATTTGAGTATTATTTCTTAGGGAAAAATACTGGAAATAGCTATTCTATGTAAGTGAGGTAATGAAATACAGTAAATTGGAATTTTATATCAATTTTGCAGGTGTCTTACACTAGTTTTGAGGTACAATTCTGAATTGTAACTTACAGTTTGTCTCAGCTGACCAAACCTTTCCCTGTGTCACCCTCAAATTTTAGTGTGAGCTCTTAGCTACGTTAGTTTAAAATAATAATTGTAAAAAGCTGTTTATTTCTGCATACAGTACTTATACTCCTGATGCTTTTGCAGTATGTTTTTATTCAAAGTATGTGTTAAAAGATTTAAAAGATTCCTGTCAGTGTTGGATTAGAATGAATATTTTTAAGTTATTATGCTAAAGGGAAGATGGAAAAGAATGGTAGTTTTTTTTAGTCTTAATAACTTTCTCACACAATGTTAATTCTTATAATTGTCCTATGTTTTACAGTACTCATTTTCTGAAATACTGTACTGGACAACTTCCAAATCACCTTTTACCTGCTGTCTGTAATTCACAGTTCTTTATGTGGAATTTTCATTTCAGGCAATACAAAACCCCAATGATATCCAGTTACAAGAAAAAGCATGGAATTCAGTGTGTCCTCTGGTTGTGAGGCTGAAGCGCTTTTATGAGTTTTCGCTGAGATTAGGTGAGCCCTGGTTTAGTATGTTTGTTTTATTCAGTTACTTTAAAGAAATATGAAATTTCTTTTTCCACTAATTTTTAAAGAGCTTTTGTTTTGTCTCTTTGATCTTAACAGATGTTTGCCTTCAGTCACGTTTCTCAGTGTAGTTTTGTTATCTTGTTTTGATTTAAAATTATTTAAAGTTTGTTGGCTTGCCACCTAAACTGTATATTATCTAAATATAGCACAGAGAATGCAATTGCGACTGTAAAGTTTTTATCTGATGCCTCCCACTGTTCAACACTTCATTGATGTTTGTTGTACTGATGCAGTTTACTTTTTTTAATTTGAATTCTCATACAGAACAGAGTTTTAAAAGGACTGAAGACAAAAATATTTCAAGATTTGCTTTTAAATAAAAAGGAGGAGGATAACAGAAACAGGAGGATATCGATACTCTCTTGCAGGGTGAAAATGCAAGGCTGGGCGCATTTTAAACTGACTTAATCACCCACACTGCCTTCAAAAAATGATGTAATTAAGCCTTGAATTAAGACTCTGGATGACAATCTTTGTGCAAAAAAATGTCTTTATAAAGTGGGAAAGTTCCCAGTAAGGGGAATTCTTCTATAAAGTCCTGCTATGCCTATCACTTTTTGAGTAATGTTAGTAATTATAGCCACAGGAGCTGAACTACATTGCTATCAGTGCCTAAGAGTACACTTTCAATAACTAAGATGCCAGAACAATCTCTGTACTGTGTTGATGGCTAATTCAGGAAGATGAAAAAGAGAGAGCAGAACATTTGAATGTAGGAGAAATGCTTTCTCCGTAGAACTTTTGGTAAGGTTCCGAGATAAAGGGTGTGAGATGGAAAAAAGGGACATAATGGAAAAGAGTTCATTGATACAAAATGGAGAGAAAATGGCAGAAAGCTTAACAAAACTTAGCAAGAAATTCCTTTGACTAATGTTTCTCACCTTAGAATAGAAACGAAGGGGATTCTTGTTAGGGCTGTGCATATTCTAAGCCTGCCTTCTCGTCTAACAAAGCATATTTAAATATTTACGTAAAGTCTTACCTTAATATGGACTGAAAAAAATATATTTTATTTCTAGAAAAGGCCCTGCAGAGCTTACTGGAATCTTTGACATGTCCACCTTATACTCCAACTCAACACCTGGAACGGGAACAGGCTCTGGCTAAAGAGTTTGCAGAAATCTTACATTTTACTCTTCGTTTTGATGAACTTAAGGTTAAAATCTTTTACTGCATGCTTTTTTTTTTTTCCATATATTTTGAATCAAAACTGATTATTTTCTGTTTTCTTTCACTAAGATGAGAAACCCAGCAATTCAGAATGACTTCAGTTATTATAGGCGGACAATAAGTCGCAACAGGATAAACAACATGCATGTAAGTAAATAAGGTCTGATCTACTCTTCATGCAGAAATATGTATCATTTTGTGTATACTTACACCATTTGTGGTAGTGTGGTTTTTTTGGTGTTTTTTTTTGATTCGTTAGCTGTCATATTGTCACCTTCACAGTGAGAGTTAAACAGCAGTCTGGATAAAGTGATTAGGCTGGAACTATTAATTCAGCAATCTGCTTCCTGACATGAACATGTGCTGTATCTTTTTCTTGCTACAGTCAAGATTTTAAGGGTTTAACTAACTTTTTTTTTTCATGTTTTTTTCAGCTAGATATCGAGAATGAAGTCAACAATGAAATGGCCAATAGGATGTCCCTGTTCTATGCAGAAGCGACACCAATGCTGAAAACACTCAGTAATGCAACTACACATTTTGTATCAGAAGTAAGTAACGGGAGAGAAAAGGGAAAAACACACAGACACTCTTAATTTTAATTTTACAAAATGATGTACTCAATGATGTACTCTTTTTTAACCCTTCTAGAATAAAACGTTGCCAATTGAAAATACAACAGACTGCTTAAGTACTATGGCTAGTGTATGTAAAGTCATGTTGGAAACACCGTAAGTTTCATCTTAAATCTTGTTTTTATTGTATGTGACAATTTTTACCATGTTTATTTATTTCCATCTGGAATAAACAGTTGTTTTTTTTTCCAAACGATTTCCTGCTTGCCTTAAGTTGCAGTCACACTGATGAACAAAGCACAATTCGTTTTTAGAAAGTTTTGCCTTTTTGCCTCCTATTTTAACCATCTTAGATATTTTTTTCACAAATCAGCGCTGAATTAGGAAGGGTCTGTATTTCAATGAAGGTTAACATACAAGTATAATCTTTCATAGGCTTTGGTATCTGTTGGTCTAACCAGAACTATAGGGCAACTACTGTTTCTTGCCCATCCTGCAAAATTATTACCATGCTTAGGGGCTGGATTTTGGCACAGATGCGCGCATAGTAGATGGGAATCGTCTCAAAATCCTGTGATATCTTAGTATGAGTCACTGAAAATACCCATATGTGTAAGCTTTTTTTTTTTTTGCGTAAGTAGAGAAACAGTAAATTGTGAGTTGTCTACCAGAAGATAAAATTGAGTTTATTATCCAGTATTTAGTTTTAACTGGGAGATAATCAGACACTTTCACATTTAAATTTCTATAGCCTTTAAATCTGGTCATGTTATGATGCTGTATTTATAGCTATAAATCAGAGGATGAAATCTGAAGTCATTGTAAGCTGAGGGATGCTACAGTACAGCTTTTGGAAATTTTAATTTTATTTTAAATAAAATTTTATATTGAAAATAGTGAGTAACAGTAGACAAATACATGTATTATCTACTTAAATTATATTTGTTTTGTAACAGTGGTGCTTGCCATTTTTCAGGCATTCTGCTTCTCTCTATTACATTTAATTCACTTCTTTATGAAGGTAGAAGAGCAGTGATAGGGATTGTCTTAACTGTATCATCTGTATTCTTATTTTGCAGTTGAAAAGTCAGAGTCAAAGAGAAACTCTTTGGAATGAGTTCAATCCGTTCCCATACAATATACCTCTACTTTTTTAGATGTCTGGTGAACATGGGTTGTTGAAGTTGCCTATGTACTTTGGGAAGATATATCAGTAATTATGAACCCAGGTGAAGGCCTGTACTTAAAAGCTGCTGAAATTAGATTCTGCCTAAATGTTACTAGTTTCTTAGTAAGAATTTAAGCAAAAAGAATAGTTTTCCTGCGAGGTCCCATATGCTGTGTTTCTAAGAAGAAGCAGAAGTATGACGAGTCTCCATCATATTTTATCAGCCATGGAACACTTAAGCAAAAGTTGCTGGCCTCACAGAAACGAGGATATGAACTGGGAATGTTTGGTAAAACAGATTTAAATATCTATTTGCTTTCTAACCTTCTTTGTAAATTGACAGGGACTTAAGCAATTTAAAGGTCTTTAAAATTTTGCAAAAATTTTTGTTGTACTATTTTTAAGTACAATGTTTAGGTTTTGTTCCTTCGTAGCCTGGTTTGCAAAACTGTCCACTTAAAAACAGTCAAGATATTTTTTTTCCTGTTGTTTTTCAGAGAGTACAGGAGTAGATTCACCAGTGAAGAGACTCTTATGTTCTGCATGAGAGTAATGGTGGGAGTTATCATACTGTATGATCATGTTCATCCTGTGGGAGCTTTCTCAAAGACATCAAAGATTGATGTAAGAATGACCTTTCTTAATATCACATAGGTTTGAGAACACAGAAAAGCCTGTGGATTTTTTTTCAGCACAGACTTACGACTTTTTCTAAATCATTTTTAATAACTTCCGAGTGGCAAAACTTAGAATTTACCTTCACCTGCTTGCTTTCATATATCAGCTTGTTTGAAATTAAAATAAGTATTTGTTTTTTCTCTCAGACATAGATACTCATTTGTCTCTATCTCTGTTTTTCTGCCAGCTGTATGGTTACACTATAATAATTCTGTGATACACTTGAATAAGTTCTGTAGTCATAAGTTTTTATTTATCATGTAATCTCTTTATGCTGAAATGCTCATTTTTGGTTCTAGCTCTGTTGTAAATAAGCAACTATTCTATATTGTCTCTGCTTAGCCTGAGATCTAAAGTAAGAGAACTGAAATCCTACTGTTGTAATGCTAATAATGAGCCTTCAGTTTTAGTTTTGGCATGACCAGTCACAGCAGAATCAACTTTATATTTTCATCTGAGATACTGCAAGCACACACACAAAAAAGTACTCTTTTTGTGCTGCATGTTTTTACTAACCTAAATCTCATAAAGCACATATTTCAACAGAAATAATCTGTAATTCATGGTTAGTCCTTCCCTTTACAAAACAGCCTACTTCTAAAGAAAAAAAAAAAATATATATATATATATACATTCTTTGTTAGCATTTTTTATCTGCAGATAATACTATTTTACCACATTGCTTTTTTGACTCTGCTTAACAGAGGGAAAGATATGTCAGAAAGAGGTGAATTGATTTGCTGAAGGTCACGCAGCAGATAGAGCCTGGGAATTGAATGCAGACTTCCTGACTGCTAATGCAGTCTCATGCCTACAGAGACAGCACAAGTAAAAATTTTCATAGGACTGTATATACAGTGTGTGCACTTTTGGTTCTCGCATTTATCTGAAAGCCTTGTAACCTTACATTATAGTTAATGTAAATGAAAGGCTGAAAATGAACAACTTAGTTTTTTTAAAAATGAGCAAATGGTCCCTAATCTTAATTGGTTTAATTAGTTTGGGGATTATTCTCTTAATAAATAAATAAATAAATCAGTAGATGCATTTGTTTTACTATAATAAACAATTCTGTTTTCCAAGCCAATCACTTCTTGGAATCCATTTTAGGAGTTAAGGGACAGTGGTTCAAACTAACCTTTCCTTACTTTTTCAAGACTATTTCAAGCTGTTGATTATAGGCACCTAGCTTAGATGTCCAAGAGCTGCTCTTTTTTGACTGCTTTAAGGATTCTGATTCTAACAAAAGTGGAATTGAATAATTTGAATTTTTCTCTGCGTTGAGTTTGCCTGAACATGCATTGCTACTGCATAATGTACACTGAGTTTTTTGAATTTCACCTAGACTGGCTTCTGGATAGGTACTAGATGTATACCTAGCAATGGAAGAAAAGGGTACTTCCAGAGCATGATTAACTACATCTGAAGTTATATTCTGAATAGGTTGGAGGAATTTAACATTCCGCTCTGTGAACTACATAGGAATTCTGTAGATTGGATCAGATGAGTTCTGTGTCTGCTTTCTCTGCTTCATTTTTTCTGTTGTAAATTTGGAAAGTGTTTTCAGCCTGATTTTTGTACTCTCTCAAGCAGATGTTCTTTCACTGTGGTGTTTAAAATCAGCATCAGGGACTTCTCATCTCAGATGAAGTTAGAAACAACTAGTTATGAAACAAACTGTAAGCTATCACTACTTACAACTAGAGACTGAATACTGAAAATGTGTACAAGTACTTGTGTACAAGTATAAATATAAAAGTCAAAGTTGACACATTTATTCTTACAGTTCCTAACAGCAGTGACAGGGAATTGTCTCTTAAAATCCTGGTTATTCTTTTTGTGTTTATCAACTGTTCTTGAATATTTTTTTAAGTTGCAGTTGGGGAAATTATATGTGAATTAAAATATATACATTTCATTTATAATTTACTATCCACACATGCTTTTTAAATAAGATTATATTTTCATTTTAATTATATTTTAATTTTTTAATTGCACATAATTTTAAATAAGATACACATTTATTGTTTCATATAAAGCAGCATTAACATTCAGTAGGAAAAAAAGGCTGCCTATCTTTGGTGAAAGTTTTCCTTGTTTTCAGCTAGTGCAATTCATGTATTATTGTTCAGTAGTGGCATGCTTCTGTTCCCAGATGAAGGGATGCATAAAAGTTTTAAAGGAACAACCACCTGACACTGTGGAAGGACTTCTGAATGCTCTCAGGTATGTATGGAGTCACTGGAGTCATTCAGCCTTAATTTTTTTTCCTCCTAATTTTTAAAAAATTTAAGACTTTTTAACCTTATAATCTATTAAGAAAACTGTTATTTCAGGTTTGGCTTTATCACCTGAGGTTTTCTTAAGTTATATTCTTCCTCTCAGTTCCATTTCACTTTTATAGGCAATGATTATTGATACTGGAAGTCATAATCTCCATGAATGATAGAGATAATAAAAGTTCATTTAATTGCCTAATTTCTCATACTATTTATACTCCCCTTTATTCTTTCATTTGGATCAAGTAAACCATTTTATTTTAATTTTGCTTAATGATACAACTTGAAGAAGACAGCTACCCAAATCCGAGTCCTGTAGCTGAGAGTTAAAAGTGCTGTCTTGGAAAACAAGACACAATGATACGACTTCTCTGAAACTCAGAAAAGAGTCATAGCACCAAATTTTTTACAGCTGTGTTGAATTCTCTAGCTGCTTGGATAGAGGAAGAAGTATTGCCATAACCACCTCTGCTTTTGCTTATCATATCTTTTGAATTGAAATTGATGTGGAGTTAAATCCTACGGCTATCAGATGTCTTTTGAGCTTGTGCAATGATTGATTTCCCTACCAACATACACAGTGGAGAATATGTTTGGGCTTAAATGGAAGAAACACACTACAAGCTTTTTATTCCTCCTAAGATATTCCTAAATGTGCAGCTCAACACCAAACAGAGTTCTGGTTTAAAAACAAACAAACAAAAAAAAAAAAAACAGGAAACGCTCTATGTCATAAGATATAAGGGTACAGGACCTTTAAGACATATTCTTAAAATTAAGCTTTTAGGTTTTGTCAAAATTCAATTTAGGTTCTTAAATCCTTTTAGTAGTTTTTACCTTATTTCTCACGTTATCTCATGTATTGTATTTCTTTTGAGGATTTAACTGAAAGAAAGAGAATTTTACAGAATCAAGTGCTGTTCTTGAAATAAGACAATTTGACTTCAGTTTCCTGCCATACCACAGACACTGCATTTGACTGCAGCCTCTCTTTTAAATTGACATTCTTGCTGCACTAATACTGCTACAATTGTTGGCTCGAGGCCAGGATTTAGCCTCAGTTCTCAACCTATTAACAAAGAATAATTTCATGTAAGGGATATTTAGAAAATAAAGAGCAGTAGACAATTAGTAATTAAAATTCCAGTGATCAGTGAATAAAGGAATATATATGCATCTTTGTGTAAACGAACTACATGGATTTCAAAAACAGCCAGTGATTTTTTTAGACTTTTAAAATCCCTGCTTGTTTTATTAAATACTGTTCTAATTTGTAATTTGTAGGTTCACTACAAAACACCTGAATGATGAATCTACTTCCAAACAAATCCGAGCTATGCTGCAGTAGTGTCCTGAGACGACTTAGATGTTTGTATTGACCACAGAAGATGTGTATGTTTACATAATTTAATACAGTTTGATGTTAATACTTGTGTGTATTTACATAACCATTTTCTTCACATTGCTAAAATATATGAACTTGTAGTCATTACCCAACTGACTATGATGCAGCCTAAGTTTATATGCTAGCCTTTATCTTTTGACCTTTAAAATACTTTTTTACTTAGATACTTTAGCTGAAACAGTTTATCTGTGCATTTTAATTCTTAAATGCCTTCTCTGGAAGATAAAATGGAAATCAGATAAACTGAAATGTCAAAGTTGCCATAGGAGATGAACTTTAAAGGAGGAGAAACTTAATAAAAGAGAAAGTAAAATTGTAGATATAGGAGAATACCTGAATGTTCATCAGCTTCATTAAATATGTTGTTTTTCCTGTAATTAGTGGAGATCTATCTAATTTTAAGGGTTATGTGCTGGCCAACATCCAAAAATGTATTGCAAAAGAGGTCATTTTGCCTCTTTTAATATGTATAACCTGCTCTTTTCCACGACTGGGAAAATTAATATGATTTCAGATACTATATAAATAAATATAAAGTGTATTTCAAGACCATTGCTAGATTTTGAAAATTCTGATTAATTTTATTAGATTTAGAAAGGTAAGGGAAAATGCTAATGTCTTTAAAAGAAAGGGTTTTGCAGTGTAAATACATCATGGCAAACATTATCTGTTAGAGACAGCTCTGCCTGGTAAATATTTTTTTTTATTATTATTATTTTTCCTAATACAAAATTGAATAAAGCAAAACACTCTTTTGTAGCAGTAGACTTCCCTAGTTTCAAATTGGCCTGATTAGATAGGGATGATATAAAGAATTTTCAAGACCTGAGCTGTTCCTAGGCGCTCTATCAATTTCCTGATAGTAATATTCATCAGCTGATTCAGAATCAGCACGGATATGTTTCAGCTCACTGCTTTTCACTGTTTTTCTAGATGTGATTGAAGCTTCAAGGAGTTGATTTCCTTACTCAGTTGGTTGTTCTTACTTTCTAGTAATTTTCTCCAGTAAATGGAATAGAAATATTTTGCCAAAAGCAGCAAAGTGCTTGTTCTCTATTAAATGTCTTCTCTGAGTGATATGCAATTGCTGTACATATTCTTGCAGAGGTCACATTCTGAAAATATGTTCAATTGTGTACTTCGCATATATGCATGAAAACTCCAGTGCTTGTGCACAGGTTCAGATTTGTTTATTCTTGTGTACATAATCAGAGGTTGTGTGCTGTCACTGGAATTTTCATGCTTTTCACTTCTGAAAATATTAACCATAAGAGTTTGAAGATGCATTTGGTCTGCTAAAACTCAGCTGCACTGTTACAAATTTAGTCAATGAACTCTGCCTTTAAAAAGTACTACTTTCATAAGTTCTTTAGAATTGCCTTAGAGTTTATTTGTGAGCAGAATTATAAGGTCTCTCAGATGTCATGAGAACCCACAGATGTTAGCGTTATATATGTAACGATGCAGGAAAGCACTGCAACTGTAGAGTTCATTTCATAGATCTGCAGTTTTAGCAGATCACTATCATCAGGAACAGAATTAGAAATTGCTAATTGTTTTTCAGAAGCAGTGATCGTACTACTATTTTATAGTAGTAAAGTCACTGTTTACAAACTCCATTTTTTAATGGGGAAGCATTTACAAATATATATTAGGGGAAGAAATTCTGTTTTGTTCATAGTCACTTTCAGTTAGGTAAGTCAACATGAATTACAGATCATTCTATTGACTTTTGGTATCTAACATTAATACATGCTTACCTGCAATCACTTGTCAAACAATGAAATCTTTGTGTCGCCCAGAGGAAAGTTACTCATCACTTATGTAATAAAAATGTAAACTTTAAAGCATTCTGCAAGTTGTTATGTGCTGTTTGCTGAAAAAAAAAACCACCTGAATTTCTTTGCCTGCTGTGATGTTTTTGTACAGAAGTTTGTTGGAAATAATAAAAAGTTTGGTACAGTAAGCATTGGCACTGTCTGTATTTAGACAAAATTAAAAAGTTGAGAAGGATTTCAGATATACAGTAGGCTTACTTTTATATATATATATTCAGTGTATAGTTTCTTTAAACATCATTTGAATTATTTCACTTGCATGCCACACTGATACAACTTCAAGTTAGTTAAACAGTTCCTGATTTTTTGACAGTTAGTGTCAGCTGTCTGTCATCTTGACATGGGAAAATTGTTGATAATGCTTTTCATAGCAGAGGAGATAAATCATAGAATAATAGAATCACCAAGGTTGGAAAAGACCTCTAAGATCATTCAGTCCAACCATCCACCTATTGCCAGTATTTCCCACTGAACCCATGTCCCTCAGTACAACATCTAAGCTTTTCTTGAACGCCTCCAGGGTTGGTGATTCCACTACCTCCCTGGGCAGTCCGTTCCAGTGCCTGACCACTTTCTTGGACCACTTTTCTCCAACTTGGCGCAATTTGAGGCCATCCATGAAATTTATATCTGCACATCAGTCATCCTAGGCTGTGATGGACATTTCAGACTGCCTTTATAATCAGTGAGATCACCAGAGGATGATTCATTTCATCTTAAATGCAAGTGAATTATTCTTAGAAGAGAGGTTCTGTAAGCTAGTGGTCAAAGTTAGGTCGCCATTTTGGCAACGCTTCTTCTGTGACTCATCATTACATAAGAATACATAAGATCATATCTTAATGAGAGCATTTCGGAATTGGCATAAATAAGTGTGACTAGTTTGGATCAGAATAGCCCTAAAAAAAAAAAAAAAAAGGTTGAGGGGTTGTTTTGTGGTACAAAAAGGTACTATTTTAGGTTGATATGAATTTGAAAGACTAGAATAGCTGCAAAAAAAATTGATGGATTTAATCTCTATTCAGAAGTATAACTCATAACTTCAAAACTGAGCAGCTGTCAAAAAGCATAGTCGCTAGAAGTATATTTACCGGTATGCGATGAGCAGCATCACCCATATAAATTATCTAATGTTTTCCATGTACTTACAAAGCAACAAAAAAAATCTGTTTTTCTATTGTATTTCTGCTAATCTTAGACTGGTATTGAGATGGAAGTAGTATATAAGATAACTTGTGTTCTATAAATACACTGAATTAAGTAAAATAAGACACAAATTTGTCATATAAAATGATCTCTCTCCCCTTTTTCATTTCCTTCTTGAGAAGCTTAATGGAATCAATATATTCCTACAGAAATACAGCACCAGTACATGTATGCAAGTGTTTGGAAATACGGCATCTTTTTTTCATCCCATACCTAGTTTTGACTACAAAGGTATTTGTATGCATTTTGAAATATCTACAGGCCTTAAAGAAAACCTATCTGAATGTAGACAAATATCCTTTTTTTTTCACATTTGCAAAACAAGACTTCAGAAACAATGAGAAATACAAAAGAAAAATTTAATGTTCAAACAACATTATGAACATTATGGAAAAAAAAAAGTTTCATATAGTTTCATATATTTAGGCTCAATTTCATGAATCTCATCTGTGCATGTTGCCTCTTGCCTGTCTCTGGACACCACTTTTTTTTTTTTTTTTTTTTTTTTTGTGCCATGTAGTGCAGTTTCGTAGGAGTCCCTCGAACTATCTTTCCTCCAAGTTAAACAGTCCCTGCTTTCTCAGCCTATACTCATGTGACAGATGCTTTGGTCTCCTCCCAGCCCTTTGCTGGACTCACTTCTGTAAGTCCATGTCTTTCTTGTACCAGGAACCCCATACCCGGTACCACCAGTCCAGATGTGTGTCACCAGTGCTGAACAGTGCAGAAGAATCACCTTCCTCAGTTTGTTCATGATACTATTCCTTACGCAGCCCTGAATGCTCCTGGCCTTTTATTTACTTTTCCTATGAGGGCATATCGCAGACTCATGCATTCTGCTGCCCAACACGTGCCTCACTTTTCTTTCTTTGTAGCTTTGCTTTGTAGCTACTTGGCCCCCAACCTGTACAAATGGGGGAGATTATTCTTCTCTAGGTACATGACTTGATGGTTCCCATTGCTAAACTTCATAATTCACTAATCTCTGAGATTCTCTCTTAATGGCAACACAAGCATCTGGTGTATCAACCACTCCTCCCAGTTCTGTTTCATCTACAAAATTCCCATCCCACACTCCAGATCATTAACGAAGATGTTAAACAGTATTGGCTCCAGTATCAACCATGGGTACACTACCAGTGCCTGGAATCCAGAATGATTTTGTGCTACTACTCACCGCACCTTTGAGCCTGGCAGTTCAGCTATTTGTCAGTATACCTCACTGTCTCGTTATCTCATCTGTATTTCAGCAGTTTGTCTGTGAGAATCTTTTGGAAGGTACTGTCAAAAGCCTTGCTGAAGTAAAACAAGCAACATCCACAATTCTTCCCTCATTCGTCAGGCCAGTCATCTTAATATTAGAAAGCCAGCAGGTTTATCAGACACAATATCCAAATTATCAGTCAACAGTGACCAAGCAACCTGTTGTCCAATTCTACATTCACAAATTGTTTCCAGGAGCATTTGTTACATCAGATTCTCAGGGATCATCAAGCTTCTCAGGTGAAGCCAAGAAGCCTGAAGTTCTCTAAAGTCTCCTTGCAATTCTTGAATTAATAACTAGCGGCATTTGTTTTTACCCTATCTTCAATGACATCAGCCAGCTCTCAGCACTGAAGGTGCTTCCAATCAGGTCATATGGATGTGTGTAAGTAAGTTTGTTTAAATATTTCCTTTTTACTCCAGACTGTTTCTCTGAGATTTCTGAAGGCAAATCCGACCATTAAAGACATGGGCAAAGAAAGCACTAAGTTCTTTGCCCACATTCTTTGTAACCAGGTCCTCTGTGACATTTAGCAGTGGGAATACGTTTTCTGTAGCCTTCCTGTTGCTGCCGATACTCTGGTAGGAGCCCTTCTGTTTGGCCTTCATCTTGACTACATTTAACTCAAGGGAGGCTTTGGTCTTCCTAGGTCACTTCTCCCTGTTCCCTCTTCTTGCATGCTACTTCAAGTTTGGCTTGGCTTCCTGCTCAGGACCTTTCATTCTTGAGCTTGGGTGAGGTGACCCTTGAAGATCAGCCAGCTTCCCTGGGTTCCTCTTCAGGAATGTAACCCATGCAATTCTTCCATCCAGAGACTTTAAATATATATATATATATCCCAAATTTAATCTTTTCTGAAAATTGCTTTATGGTTTTATAGTTGAAAATACATCTTAATAATTACATGTGTTCTAAAACTATTAGAAATGCATGATTTGATGAACATAAAATGTCAAGAAACACAAATCTTGCTTATTCAAAATGTCAATATTTTTAAGAGAGTCTGTTAATTTACTTTAAAAGTAGTCCACTCATTGCTGTTCTCTTGCTGCAAATGGTTTCTCTAATGCATCACTCCAGAATCTACAGACATGAAGCCAGTGAGCTGAAACAGTGATATAATTCATCAATAAATTAAAAATATATAAATTATAAATTAAATAAAACCCAGTTCAGTTAAAATAGATCTACTATTTTAGGTAGCAACAGATTTAAAAAGGTGAATTCCAAATTGCCAAATAATCCAAATTCTGAAAACCCTATTCTCCTTTGCATCAATTTGACACAAATGTAAGTCGATTGCAAGAGAGCTGTTTCTGATTGACATGGGTGTAAATGATATCCTTTGGGTTTTTTTTTCAGTTGTGGCCTTTGACCCTAATTGCTTATTACTGAGCAAATTGAGTCTTCTGCTAGTGCAGATCAATGACGTAACTCGATAATCTTGCAGCGATCTGACTCTTGACTGCTTTGAAATTAAAACTAAAAAGAACAGTGCAGTAGGTATTCTAGAAAGTCAATACGTATATAGTTAAAAAATAGACCAACCAGACATTGATCCCTAGTTTAAAGGGAGGATATGTCATGAATTTTCAACTAATCTTAATTTGGGTCCTTTCTGGGATTATCAAAATCTTGTCTTGAATATTTGCGCCATGACAAATATATAGACCTGGATATTACAAATTTTTTTATATTCCTCTTGCCATTTTAAGATTACAAATAATTTAAAGTTTAGAAATCTGTTATGTGGCTTGGATGAAAATTGCTACTACAGTCCATATGATTATTCTTACTCTGATGCTGCATTCACTTTAATGAATGGATTCACAGAATATTTCCATGAATTTGAGTGAAATTACACAGCTGGTCTCTTCAGACATGAAAACTATGGCAGAATTTCTCTGTCTTCTTCAGACATACAGAAGAAGATTGAAGATGGCAGTAGTAGATCAACCTCAACATAGTTGACACAAGAAAACATAAGAAAAAGAGGAGAAAGCTCTAGATTTGGCATGGATGTAGGCATCGTGCAATTCAGAAACTATCCTATGCTGTGGGTTGTGTGACATGGCAATGTCCCAAGATCATGTTAGATGGAGAGAGAACTTAAGGGCTTTGGTGAGGAAAAGATTCTACCCAAAATGAACAACTTGCCATCATTACAGAAAGCTTAAGGGCTTATCTAACCTTACCTCCTATCACTTCTCTAACAGAAACCTTCCCAAATATGATTCCTTACAGTGGACTTGAATATACTGTACAACTGTAATCACTTTAATTGAGGTAAATAAGTAAAACCAAATATTTTACTCTTCTTTTTTTTTCATTCATGATATAATTGGTTGTTTATAAATAATGCAATCCAGTATAAGTTAAATGAAGTCAATAAAACATTCATATGTGTTGCCTGCAAAGTAGTTTAAATTCATTTGTTAAAAAAAAAAAATTACTTCAGAGGCAAGATTATTTTTCAAACAAGCACCAGTAGTCCTCCTTATTGTATGTACTTTCCAAATGGAAACTGGAGTTTTCCAATACAAGAATTACCTGAGTGAGTATGTAAGTAGATTGCATTGAGAGGCGTGGTTAGAAATATTTTGGTAGACTTTGACATGGCCTGAGCTACAGATAATTCTTCATGTTGGGAAGTTTG